ATGTTCTATGGACCGGAGGTTCCCTGGCGCATGTTATGTTCTATGGGACGGAGGTTCCCTGGCGCATGTTATGTTCTATGGGACGGAGGTTCCCTGGTGCATGTTATGTTCTATGGACCGGAGGTTCCCTGGCGCATGTTATGTTCTATGGGACGGAGGTTCCCTGGTGCATGTTATGTTCTATGGACCGGAGGTTCCCTGGCGCATGTTATGTTCTATGGGACGGAGGTTCCCTGGTGCATGTTATGTTCTATGGACCGGAGGTTCCCTGGCGCGTGTTATGTTCTATGGGACGGAGGTTCCCTGGTTCATGTTATGTTCTATGGGACGGAGGTTCCCTGGCGCATGTTATGTTCTATGGGACGGAGGTTCCCTGGTGCATGTTATGTTCTATGGGACGGAGGTTCCCTGGCGCACGTTATATTCTATGGGACGGAGGTTCCCTGGTTCATGTTATGTTCTATGGGACGGAGGTTCCCTGGTGCATGTTATGTTCTATGGACCGGAGGTTCCCTGGCGCATGTTATGTTCTATGGGACGGAGGTTCCCTGGTTCATGTTATGTTCTATGGGACGGAGGTTCCCTGGCGCATGTTATGTTCTATGGGACGGAGGTTCCCTGGTGCATGTTATGTTCTATGGGATGGAGGTTCCCTGGCGCATGTTATGTTCTATGGGACGGAGGTTCCCTGGTTCATGTTATGTTCTATGGGACGGAGGTTCCCTGGCGCATGTTATGTTCTATGGGACGGAGGTTCCCTGGCGCATGTTATGTTCTATGGGACGGAGGTTCCCTGGCGCACGTTATGTTCTATGGGACGGAGGTTCCCTGGTTCACGTTATGTTCTATGGACCGTAGGTTCCCTGGTGCATGTTATGTTCTATGGGACGGAGGTTCCCTGGCGCACGTTATGTTCTATGGGACGGAGGTTCCCTGGCGCATGTTATGTTCTATGGGACGGAGGTTCCCTGGTGCACGTTATGTTCTATGGGACGGAGGTTCCCTGGTGCACGTTATGTTCTATGGGACGGAGGTTCCCTGGTGCACGTTATGTTCTATGGGACGGAGGTTCCCTGGTTCATGTTATGTTCTATGGGACGGAGGTTCCCTGGCGCATGTTATGTTCTATGGGACGGAGGTTCCCTGGCGCACGTTATGTTCTATGGGACGGAGGTTCCCTGGCGCACGTTATGTTCTATGGGACGGAGGTTCCCTGGCGCATGTTATGTTCTATGGACGGAGGTTCCCTGGTTCATGTTATGTTCTATGGGACGGAGGTTCCCTGGCGCACGTTATGTTCTATGGGACGGAGGTTCCCTGGCGCATGTTATGTTCTATGGGACGGAGGTTCCCTGGCGCATGTTATGTTCTATGGACCGGAGGTTCCCTGGTTCACGTTATGTTCTATGGACCGGAGGTTCCCTGGTTCACGTTATGTTCTATGGACCGTAGGTTCCCTGGTGCATGTTATGTTCTATGGGACGGAGGTTCCCTGGTGCACGTTATGTTCTATGGGACGGAGGTTCCCTGGCGCATGTTATGTTCTATGGGACGGAGGTTCCCTGGCGCATGTTATGTTCTATGGACCGTAGGTTCCCTGGTGCATGTTATGTTCTATGGGACGGAGGTTCCCTGGCGCATGTTATGTTCTATGGGACGGAGGTTCCCTGGCGCATGTTATGTTCTATGGGACGGAGGTTCCCTGGCGCATGTTATGTTCTATGGGACGGAGGTTCCCTGGCGCATGTTATGTTCTATGGACCGTAGGTTCCCTGGTGCATGTTATGTTCTATGGGACGGAGGTTCCCTGGCGCATGTTATGTTCTATGGGACGGAGGTTCCCTGGCGCACGTTATGTTCTATGGGACGGAGGTTCCCTGGCGCATGTTATGTTCTATGGACCGTAGGTTCCCTGGTGCATGTTATGTTCTATGGGACGGAGGTTCCCTAGCGCATGTTATGTTCTATGGGACGGAGGTTCCCTGGTGCATGTTATGTTCTATGGGACGGAGGTTCCCTGGCGCATGTTATGTTCTATGGACCGGAGGTTCCCTGGCGCATGTTATGTTCTATGGGACGGAGGTTCCCTGGTGCATGTTATGTTCTATGGGACGGAGGTTCCCTGGCGCATGTTATGTTCTATGGACCGGAGGTTCCCTGGCGCATGTTATGTTCTATGGGACGGAGGTTCCCTGGTGCATGTTATGTTCTATGGGACGGAGGTTCCCTGGCGCATGTTATGTTCTATGGACCGGAGGTTCCCTGGTTCACGTTATGTTCTATGGACCGGAGGTTCCCTGGTTCACGTTATGTTCTATGGACCGTAGGTTCCCTGGTGCATGTTATGTTCTATGGGACGGAGGTTCCCTGGCGCATGTTATGTTCTATGGGACGGAGGTTCCCTGGCGCACGTTATGTTCTATGGGACGGAGGTTCCCTGGCGCATGTTATGTTCTATGGACCGTAGGTTCCCTGGTGCATGTTATGTTCTATGGGACGGAGGTTCCCTGGCGCATGTTATGTTCTATGGGACGGAGGTTCCCTGGTGCATGTTATGTTCTATGGGACGGAGGTTCCCTGGCGCATGTTATGTTCTATGGACCGGAGGTTCCCTGGCGCATGTTATGTTCTATGGGACGGAGGTTCCCTGGTGCATGTTATGTTCTATGGGACGGAGGTTCCCTGGCGCATGTTATGTTCTATGGACCGGAGGTTCCCTGGCGCATGTTATGTTCTATGGGACGGAGGTTCCCTGGTGCATGTTATGTTCTATGGGACGGAGGTTCCCTGGCGCATGTTATGTTCTATGGACCGGAGGTTCCCTGGTTCACGTTATGTTCTATGGACCGGAGGTTCCCTGGTTCACGTTATGTTCTATGGACCGTAGGTTCCCTGGTGCATGTTATGTTCTATGGGACGGAGGTTCCCTGGTGCACGTTATGTTCTATGGGACGGAGGTTCCCTGGTTCATGTTATGTTCTATGGGACGGAGGTTCCCTGGCGCATGTTATGTTCTATGGACCGGAGGTTCCCTGGTTCACGTTATGTTCTATGGACCGTAGGTTCCCTGGTGCATGTTATGTTCTATGGGACGGAGGTTCCCTGGTTCATGTTATGTTCTATGGGACGGAGGTTCCCTGGCGCATGTTATGTTCTATGGGACGGAGGTTCCCTGGTTCACGTTATGTTCTATGGACCGGAGGTTCCCTGGTTCACGTTATGTTCTATGGACCGTAGGTTCCCTGGTGCATGTTATGTTCTATGGGACGGAGGTTCCCTGGCGCATGTTATGTTCTATGGGACGGAGGTTCCCTGGTGCATGTTATGTTCTATGGGACGTAGGTTCCCTGGCGCATGTTATGTTCTATGGGACGGAGGTTCCCTGGTTCATGTTATGTTCTATGGGACGGAGGTTCCCTGGCGCATGTTATGTTCTATGGGACGTAGGTTCCCTGGCGCATGTTATGTTCTATGGGACGGAGGTTCCCTGGCGCATGTTATGTTCTATGGGACGGAGGTTCCCTGGCGCATGTTATGTTCTATGGGACGGAGGTTCCCTGGTGCATGTTATGTTCTATGGGACGGAGGTTCCCTGGCGCACGTTATGTTCTACCTGGAGCTACAGGAGGCTTCTTCAGAATTGATGTGGCATCTCTACCGTGTGGTCAGACCGTGGCCCGAGACATGTGTTGAGATCTTCATATCAGGTTGAATACTTCAAACGAAAGTTAATTATAATCAAATATAATCAATTATATTCTTGTATAACTCACAATGAAAATGTTTCATATGTTATGATTTTCTATATTTACAGTATAAACAAAGTGGTTTGTTAAGTTGAGTGTAAGGCCTGTAATGGTTTATGGGTGTCACTGATAAGAAGACAGTTTCTTCCCTCTCCCCTCACAGCAGTACACAGGGAGGGGGGCTCCTGACTTAAGGAGAAATACATTGAGGCCCCAAAAAGGTGTTTATATCATAGCCGAGAATAATATTTTGCAAGTCCTGCAGAGTAGAGGTCATGAACTTTTTACATAAGCCTGGGAAGGTGTGTCTTATGCCATGGCCATAGCATATGTCTGGTCAAGTCCAGTCCTGTACATCAGAGGCCATGCCCAGTTTCCACAAATATGTGTATGGAGGAGGGGTCTTTAGGTTTTTCTATCCTGTTTTCGAGCATAAAGACACTGGCAGATGGGGAGGAACTTTCCTTTTTGGAGAGAGTGAGAGAGAGGGGGGGGATCCCCTGGTATGCTCTCTCCCGGTAACGCTCTCTCCCTGAGAGCTGGGTTTTTGCTCTCGGTAAGGTTCTCTCAAACCTGGTAAATATCTCTCGAATTTCTGGGTTGAATGAGTGGAATGAATTGAAGTGTGTTTGTGAGTATTAGTAACCGCCACCTGTGAGGATCTTCCTCCGAATACATGCGGGATATAGGTATGTGTTTGTGAATGTTAGTACCCGCCATCTGTGTCGGAAAAAAGGTATGGAATTGATGTGAATTGATTTGGTGAATGAAAGTTTGAATGTGCTTTTTATTATCACCGGTCATTTATGAGGAAATGCCTCTAAATTCTGTCGGGAGATTTTAAATGTCACAACTGAATTGGGCAGCTGAAGTTACAAATTATGGTAATAAATGTAAAACTGTGAATTAGAGTTTCATATTAGAACATGATCACAGCATGATAGGTTTAGTATGATTATAATGTTGTAACGAGAGACGGTAAAAACCCTGTATAAGTTTGGACCTATTTTTCTTCAAATAAACTGATCCCACCTTTTGGATTGGGACAACTTAAAAGACATCTGCGCTCTCCTCTCCTGCTTCAAAGGTAAGATTGCACACTGCCACACTCACACTTAGGTAGGGCCACACCTCACCTTTAGTGGCTGAAAGAAGTGATACGACGACGGGCAGCTGGTGTTAGAGGCCACGCTGTTAGCTGCCCCTCTAAGCAGATTACGGTGATCTTGCGTGTCGATTTTTCCTGTTTCTCACCTGAGGGGGCGGGGCAGCTGAAGTCTATGCCCTGCAGCTCCTCGGCGTACGACTTCCTGCTTTGCTCCCATTGGCTGCCTGCAACAGAGGGGGAGGGGCTTCTCAGTAGCATCAGCATGCTAACAGGCTACCAGGCTAAAAGCTAGCTCTGCTCGAGAACAGGAAGTTACCTTTCTGAGCGGACAGGTGAGGGGGGGTTATGAAGAGGCGGGTTCTCTGTGGAGAGATGGGGCGGGGTCTGCGGGGCGAGGAAATAAAGACACCTGTTTATATCAAGTTATCACCTGTTTACATCAAGTTATCACCTGTTTATATCAAGTTATCACCTGTTTACATCAAGTTATCACCTGTTTATATCAAGTTATCACCTGTTCATATCAAGTTATCACCTGTTTATATCAAGTTATCACCTGTTCATATGAAGTTATCACCTGTTTATATCAAGTTATCACCTGTTTACATCAAGTTATCACCTGTTTATATCAAGTTATCACCTGTTTACATCAAGTTATCACCTGTTTATATCAAGTTATCACCTGTTTCATATCAAGTTATCACCTGTTTATATCAAGTTATCACCTGTTCATATCAAGTTATCACCTGTTTACATCAAGTTATCACCCGTTCATATCAAGTTATCACCTGTTTACAAGTTATCACCTGTTTACATCAAGTTATCACCCGTTCATATCAAGTTATCACCCGTTCATATCAAGTTATCACCCGTTCATATCAAGTTATCACCCGTTCATATCAAGTTATCACCCGTTCATATCAAGTTATCACCCGTTCATATCAAGTTTACCACCCGTTACATCAAAGTTATCCCCGTTCATATCAGTTATCACCTCAGAGTCAGTATCACGTTATCAAGTACCCGTTCATATCAAGTTATCACCCGTTCATATCAAGTTATCACCCGTTCATATCAAGTTATCACCCGTTCATATCAAGTTATCACCCGTTCATATCAAGTTATCACCTGTTTACAAGTTATCACCTGTTTACATCAAGTTATCACCTGTTTACATCAAGTTATCACCCGTTTACATCAAGTTATCACCCGTTCACATCAAGTTATCACCCGTTCATATCAAGTTATCACCCGTTCATATCAAGTTACCACCCGTTCATATCAAGTTATCACCCGTTCATATCAAGTTACCACCCGTTCATATCAAGTTACCACCCGTTTACATCAAGTTATCACCCGTTCATATCAAGTTATCACCCGTTCATATCAAGTTATCACCCGTTCATATCAAGTTATCACCCGTTCATATCAAGTTATCACCCGTTCATATCAAGTTATCACCCGTTCATATCAAGTTATCACCCGTTCATATCAAGTTATCACCCGTTCATATCAAGTTATCACCCGATTATATCAAGTTATCACCCGTTCATATCAAGTTATCACCCGTTCATATCAAGTTATCACCCGTTCATATCAAGTTATCACCCGTTCATATCAAGTTATCACCCGATTATATCAAGTTATCACCCGTTCATATCAAGTTATCACCCGTTCATATCAAGTTATCACCCGTTCATATCAAGTTATCACCCGTTTATATCAAGTTATCACCCGTTCATATCAAGTTATCACCCGTTTACATCAAGTTATCACCCGTTCATATCAAGTTATCACCCGTTCATATCAAGTTATCACCTGTTTACATCAAGTTATCACCCGTTCATATCAAGTTATCACCCGTTCATATCAAGTTACCACCCGTTCATATCAAGTTACCACCCGTTCATATCAAGTTACCACCCGTTCACATCAAGTTATCACCCGTTCATATCAAGTTATCACCCGTTCATATCAAGTTATCACCCGTTCATATCAAGTTATCACCCGTTCATATCAAGTTATCACCCGTTCATATCAAGTTATCACCCGTTCATATCAAGTTATCACCCGTTCATATCAAGTTATCACCCGTTCATATCAAGTTATCACCCGATTATATCAAGTTATCACCCGTTCATATCAAGTTATCACCCGTTCATATCAAGTTATCACCCGTTCATATCAAGTTATCACCCGTTCATATCAAGTTATCACCCGTTCATATCAAGTTATCACCCGATTATATCAAGTTATCACCCGTTCATATCAAGTTATCACCCGTTCATATCAAGTTATCCACCCTTCATATCAAGTTATCACCCGTTTATATCAAGTTATCACCCGTTTCCATCAAGTTATCACCCTGTTTACATCAAGTTATCACCCGTTCATATCAAGTTATCACCCGTTCATATCAAGTTATCACCTGTTTACATCAAGTTATCACCCGTTCATATCAAGTTATCACCTGTTCATATCAAGTTATCACCTGTTCACATCAAGTTATCACCCGTTCATATCAAGTTATCACCCGTTTACATCAAGTTATCACCCGTTCATATCAAGTTATCACCTGTTCATATTAAGTTATCACCTGTAACATCCCATTACAAGTTATCACCTGTAACATCCCATTTTACTAAGATGGCAGCGCAGACAGCAGCAGCGGCCCCTAGCTCTCCGAGTCTTTAGTGTTTTCGAGTGTTTTTAATGTATGTTCGTCTAGTTCAACACCCCGGACCGATAGTACAGTATGGTCGTGAGTTTTATTTTTAGTGTTGTTTTGTACATATTAGGCGCGTTCACACCACAGTACTTTTCCCACTTTAGTTCCTGAGTTCATGAGAACCTTTTCACCCCCTTTCCCGTCCCTGCTAGAGAGCAGGGACTTTATGGGCTTAGATATGTCTCATCATTATTTGTGTGAACAGAAAAATAATGTGTGTGTAAATATGTGATTTGTAAATGTAAAACACCATCCACAGTTTGATCACCATTTATGTAAACAAGTATTTCAGAGGCACACCTTCATATGATCATTATAGTTATAAAACAATAAGAGAATAAATGAAAAACTGGTATGAAATACTATATGGCAGTAAAACAAGAATAAAGTTTAAAAGGGTGATTTCTAAAATATCCATAAAGAAAAAGTACATCTGTTCACAGTTGTGTTTCATATGGGTGTTGAGAGAGGTATCCATAGATCTCTCCATGTTGCTCTCAAAGTGCACCAGATTGATGCTTTTAACTTCAATAATAAAAAAAAAAATCTTCTCCGATATGTCGTGAGCTGATTATCGAGCCTTCATTGTAACAGTCGCGGGTGTAGCTGTATGAGTGTGTGGGGAGTGTTGCAGTAGAACATTTCACTGTAGCCCATAGCATTAATGGGAAACCCTACATAGAGCTATCTATCTATCTGTAGACAGACAGACAGACGGACAGGCAGACGGTCGGGCGGACGGACGGGCAGACGGACGGACGGACGGACGGACGGGCGGACGGAACGGGCGGGCGGGCGGACGGACGGACGGGCGGACGGACGGACGGACAGGCAGACAGACAGACAGACAGACAGACGGATGGATAGACGGATGGATAGATGGATATATAGATAGATAGATAGATAGATAGATACTTCATTCATCCCAAATTGTGAAATGTGTGGAAACAATAACATGAAATACAAATGAAAGTAATAGACAGGAATATATGCATATACAGTAGAAAGGACACGATGAATATTATAACATTTAATGTAGCCTGACTAAGGCTGACCTATACGGTGCTTTTCTACAGATTACATTACCACTGCACTGGTAAGGTAAAACTAGAACGATTAATAAGATGTGAAGTGCTTTGTAACTTTGACCCGCTTGACTGAATACACAAAAAACAATGAAGAAAGTTGAACCAATAAACTAAGACAAACTAACTGTATCACTATAACATGATGATGATGGTGATTGTTACGACGCTGGGTCGTTATGTCATTTGTGTGTAGATATGTTTCCCTCCTGCTGTATCTGTCCTGTTGTGTCCTACTTATACCGCATACTGGTCCTCTTGCTTGTCTTGAAAACCTCAGAAAAGGAACTACTTGAACCTGTCCTTGTTGGACACGCTTTCATTTAACCAAAAGTGTGAAACCCTTTTGGTTAATTCTCGTTTTCTCCTGTTTATACGTCAGAGTGGGTAAGAAGCCTGTACGTTTATTTTTCTTATTTGTTAGGCAATATTTATGTGTTCAGAGATTTGTTTGTTTTGTGGGTTGTTGCGTTTCTTTGTTAAAAACTTTGGTAATTAAAATGACCAAACGGCATTCTCTGTGTCGGTGTCCATGTTCTTGGGAGTGGGAAGAGTTGGGAGGCATTCTCTGTCTCTGTGTCCATGTTCTTGGGAGTGGGAAGAGTTGGGAGGCTTTCTCTGTCTCTGTGTCCATGTTCTTGGGAGTGGGAAGAGTTGGGAGGCTTTCTCTGTCTCTGTGTCCATGTTCTTGGGAGTGGGAAGAGTTGGGAGGCTTTCTCTGTCTCGGTGTCCATGTTCTTGGGAGTGGGAAGAGTTGGGAGGCTTTCTCTGTCTCTGTGTCCATGTTCTTGGGAGTGGGAAGAGTTGGGAGGCTTTCTCTGTCTCTGTGTCCATGTTCTTGGGAGTGGGAAGAGTTGGGAGGCTTTCTCTGTCTCTGTGTCCATGTTCTTGGGAGTGGGAAGAGTTGGGAGGCTTTCTCTGTCTCGGTGTCCATGTTCTTGGGAGTGGGAAGAGTTGGGAGGCTTTCTCTGTCTCTGTGTCCATGTTCTTGGGAGTGGGAAGAGTGGGGAGGCATTCTCTGTCTCTGTGTCCAAGTTCTTGGGAGTGGGAAGAGTTGGGAGGCATTCTCTCTGTCGGTGTCCATGTTCTTGGGAGTGGGAAGAGTTGGGAGGCTTTCTCTGTCTCGGTGTCCAAGTTCTTGGGAGTGGGAAGAGTTGGGAGGCATTCTCTCTGTCGGTGTCCATGTTCTTGGGAGTGGGAAGAGTGGGGAGGCTTTCTCTGTCTCTGTGTCCATGTTCTTGGGAGTGGGAAGAGTGGGGAGGCTTTCTCTGTCTCGGTGTCCATGTTCTTGGGAGTGGGAAGAGTGGGGAGGCTTTCTCCGTCTCGGTGTCCATGTTCTTGGGAGTGGGAAGAGTTGGGAGGCTTTCTCTGTCTCTGTGTCCATGTTCTTGGGAGTGGGAAGAGTTGGGAGGCATTCTCTCTGTCGGTGTCCATGTTCTTGGGAGTGGGAAGAGTGGGGAGGCATTCTCTCTGTCGGTGTCCATGTTCTTGGGAGTGGGAAGAGTGGGGAGGCTTTCTCTGTCTCTGTGTCCATGTTCTTGGGAGTGGGAAGAGTTGGGAGGCTTTCTCTG